CATTCAATCTCTACTAAGACGTTCCTCCTCAGCGCGAAATAATCTCAGACATGTGAGATAGCCGGACCGTTGAGAGCGTGTCAAATGCTAAAACGATCTTTTCTTCGCGTCCATTTCCTACTCTCCTGGTCAGCGGCAGCGGACACAATGCCGATCGAGTGTGACAATAGCTCAATCGGCCCGCGACAAATGCTCGAGTGATCGATACACCGATCGTGTAATTGCAATAACGCCGGCCACAAAAGCACCAGTTGCAACAAAGCTGATGACAAGCGCACGCAACAGGTGACACGACGAATCGATAGGATCGCGCCCGCACCGCGCCTTCCCGTGACATTGAAACCGGTGGCCACGCGCCGGGGGACGCGGGGAGGGGAGACATTTGTCCCGCAAGGATTGGACATTGTCCTTGTGTAATAGGGGAATTTTTGCGACCGCATATAGTGCAGTTTCTTAAAAATGAAATTCGGCTTACACCAATGGAGATGTTGCATGTGTGAGGAATTTGCAATTTGATTGTCGATTCTTACGTAAAAGTTTGCGAGAAACACGATGGTGCCATTGGTTTTCTCTGAAATCTTCTCCCAAGCTCAAAAAAAGCTCTCAAAGTGAGGCCAAAATGGAGCGGATATCCCGCCCTACCCTGAGAGTCCACCTCTACATCAAAACAAACTCTCCATGCGAAGATAGGGAGCAAATACATTAGCAGGGTTGCCGTGTTTTCAGTTTTGGAGTCCCCAAATAAAGTGGTGACCCTGCTAATGTATTTGCTCCCTATCTATGTATGGAGAGTTTGTTTTGATGTAGAGGTGGACTCTCAGGATAGCGTGGGATATCCCCTCCATTTTGGCCTCAACTTGAGAGCTTTTTTTGAGCTTGGGAGTTAATTTCAGAGAAAACCAGTGGCACCATCGTGTTTCTCGCGAACTTTTACATAAGAATCAACAGTCAAATCGCAAATTCCTCACACATGCAACATCTCCATTTTTGCGACCGCATATAGTGCAGTTTCTTAAATATGAAATTCGGCTTACACCAGTTTCACAAACTAGAGAGTTGACAGGGACCGATATTCTCCGTTTATATACTACAAATCGACGGTGTAAGCCGGCAATCACATAACTCGTTTGCGGTGTCTGAAAATCTCCGCCTCTTTCTTTTTTTTTTAAGGAGAACGAATTGACATTATTCCTTGAAGTTTTTGCAGAAATATCTTCGCTGCCGATCGTACTGTACCTATTAGGCGCAACGCGTGAAGTATTCACGCGGTCTTGTAGGCGCTGATTGGTATCTTAAGCGGATCGAGCCGACCGTGCTCTTTGGCGCAATGCGTGAAGTATTCCCACAGTCTTGTAGGCGCTAAGATGCGTTTTACGCCGACCGCATTGCATATGTTTGGCAGTAGTATTCATACGGGCGGAGTCGAGCAGTTTTCCGTTTAAAAAAAAAAGTATGACAGGAGGTCTGCGACGTCGCAAACCGAGTTATGTGATTGCCGACTTACACCGTCGAAATTCGTTTGTACTACAAACACATCTCTTACGCACGCATAGTGGATCTATAAATGATGCCCAGCATATCACGATATCAATACTAAAGCGCCACGGATACTTATGTCCCATATCTGTGGGCAGCCACAAATGTATTTGTCCCTTCTAGGAGATGTCTTCGTGATACGAACAAAAGAATTCAGGGCACTCCGTCATTTTAGATCATCGCATTTACAGCTCACTGCCGCTATGAGTGAAGCAGTTTCAGTGCCTGGAGTGTCAAAACGCCTTCAATCCGTGCGCAAGCAACACGGGCATCCAAGGAGCTCGAATAGTTGCATTCAAGCGTTATACTGAAATTCACTTCGTGTTCGTTGCATGCGATACAAACTGCGGGTGCTTCGCTTATTTCTCATACACCTCAACTTAATTCCAGTGTCGCCCATTGCACCACTGTAATAAACTGCTGATTTCTGTCTTCGTAACATAGTCAATTATCCGAAGTATCCTTTGACTGTTCAAATGTATTTCAACGTTATCGCCCTTCTAAAATGTGGCTGCGGCGATTTAAAAGTACCATGAGGACCTCTGCCTATTGTTTTCATTGCTTTGCCACCCCCATTACGGTGACTCCCGACCTTTTCCGCCGAAAGATGTCTCATAATAAGATTGACCTTTATCGCACAGCAGCTGGATCCGTATCGTGCCACACGCTAGAAATCCGATATTTCAGCAACTGAGCAGGAGAAAATCCTTTAAGACCTTTCGATAGGAAGAACCCTTGCAAAATCCGTAGACGCGCCTCCAGAGGTGGTCACGGCAAGGAGCTCTCGTATTTCCTGGTACGGATCCGTCCACGCCGCCCCTCCTATCGGGATCATGCTCGCATTTTTGCCCTTCATCCGCGGTTACATAAATTACGCGACGGAAGATTAATAATTAACATCCAACCGGTGCCGGGAATTATTTATGGGACTAGGTGTGATGTGTGAAAACCCCTCATTATGCATCTTGCATACGCCACCTCGCATATTTAGAGTCGTACTCTGATTCAGGCCCACATGTCACCGCGTCACGGCACGTCCCCGGCGACTTTTGCCCACGTCACCGACGTCACCCTCCCCAGCAAAAGCTCGCCGTCCTCGAAAACCTTTGTCACGGACAAAAAGCTATACAATTATACATACCTCGAGGAAATCGAAATCTCCTTTAATGGACCACTTGACAAGGTACGAATTTAAGCAATCTGATACATGTTTCTTAACCAGAATTTCACGTAAAACACGATTCGCGCAACGAAAATTACTGAAACTAACTCCTAACGAAGATATTATCGTTTTTATTTCACATTGGTTACGAGGAATTTGACCTGCCCGCTCTCAAGAAACTCAAAGCTCTACGTGAGTCAAATCGCTCACTACAACGGTTTCAGAAAGCTTCTCAATCGAGCAATGTTCATTTTCCACCATGTGTTGTTCAATCTATAGGTAAGCAATTTGCTATAGCTGAGCCAAAGCGTCAAGATTGAGGTTGCCAGATTTTTATACAGCAGAGACTGTCATAATAACATTCAGCGCGCGATGTGAATCACGTAGAGAATTGAGAGTTCATGAGCGGGTGGTTTGAATTCACGTATCAAGAATCGTTAAATATCTTTGAAAGGAGTTGAATTCGGTAATTTTCGTTGTGCGCGTCGTATTCTACGTGAAATTTTAGTTACGAATCATGTATCAGAATGCTGAAATTCGTACCTTGTCTAGTGGTCCATTGGGAATTGACTACTGAACAAGGTACGACTTTAGGCCCTCTGATACATGTTTTTTAACCAAAATTATCTTGTAGAACATGATTCTTGCATCAAAAATTACTGGAATCAACTCCGAACTAAGATATGAACGTTTTAATTTTACAGTGGTTACATGGAAATTTGAATTGCCCGGTCGCAAGAAACTCAATAGGTGCTCTACGTGAGTCAAACCGCGACTTACAACGGTTTTGGCAGGCTTCTCAATCGTGCACTGTTCCTTCCCCAACCTGCTGAGCCAAAGCGTCATGATTCAGGCCACTTATATTTTCGTTTTGCAGAGACTGCCGCGGTAACGTTTAGTGTGCGATTTGACTAACGCAGACCATTGAGTTTTCATGAGCGGGAGGTTTGAATTCACGTGTCAAGAAACATTAAATATCTTGGTTAGACGTTAATATCAGCGAATTGTGTTCTACGTGAAATTTTGGTTGAGAAACACGTATCAGAGTGCTTAATTTTGTACCTCGTCTAATGTTCCATTGGTGCCGTCCTCATACGGCCGTCTCTTTATCAGCTTGTTTTTTCGCGGAGGCCTCAAGTGATCCACGGTGGAAATCGAATATAACGACTTTGAAAGGGCCTACCTTTTTCGGTCGTAATAGCCGATAGTTAGATTTTTACGCGTGTTTTAAAAAGAAAGTTTCGCCACGCAATGAATAAAGCTGCGCTGGGTGCCGGCGTTACGGTATGAAGACAAGGTTTCCTTATTTGCAGGAAAAGAAACGCCACTATTTTTAACACTTCATATTCATTTTTTTCATTTTATTTTATTAGTTTGTAGACTGGTCAGAAATTGTGCGCACCGCGGGTGGTAGGCCTGACACCGATAAATTACGAACATTCAACGATAAAGCGCGCACCTTGGTGCAGGCGCAATGCGTAAAGTTCGCATACAAACTTGTGGGTGCTAATATGCGTTCCACGCCGACCGCACTGTTTCGCGCAATGCGTGAAGTATTCAAGCGGTCTTGTAGGCGCTTGTATGTGCCTCAAGCGGATCCAGCCGATCGTGCTGGATTAGGCGCAATGCGTGAAGTATTCACGCGGTCTTGTAGGCGCTAATAGGTCTCTCAGGTGGATCGAGCCGACCGCGCTGTTTGGCGCAATGCGTGAAGTATTCCCACAGTCTTGTAGGCGCTAATATGCGCTAACGCTGACCGCATCGCATATGCTCGGCACTATTATTCAAACGGGCGGAGTTGAGCAGTTCTCATTTTGCTTGGTTGTTTGAGCTGATGCTCTAAGGCCAAAGCCCTATCGCAAGGAAAAAATCAAGGATGAAACAATAAAAACAACCTGTACTATGATTGAATCTTTGCGCACACTGAATGGAAATGGATGTTGATCCACCTCAGTTGGACCGCGTATAACGGAAACGAACCAAGCCACATCAGCTATTGCCAAATTTAACTGGGAAATTTAAGATATTACGAGAGAACTTTTGTGTTCTGTATTTTTTAGGAAATTTTAAACCTGAAAATTTATTTTAAGGAAATTTTAAGGAACTTGCGCCGTACTATGAAGACAATTAACTGAATTTTCCACGAAAATTCACAAAACTGTTTTCATGTGAAAAATAAAATGCCCTATTAAAAGTGACAGTAGCTGATGTGGCTTGGCTCCTTTCTGTTAAACGGGATCCGATTGAAAGTCCCTTCTTAGAGATAGAATATTAACCAAGGAATCATTTGTCTCGATTGCAGCAACAAGGTGCTCCAGCTGAGTTCGGGTATCGAGGCGGTGGGGGTGCTGCGGTGGGAGCTGGTGGCGTGTCTGCTGGCCGCCTGGATCCTCGTCTACTTCGCCGTCTGGAAAAGTGTCCGCTCTTCCGGCCGAGTCCGCTACATCACGGCCACCCTCCCCTACCTCCTCATCGCCATCTTCTTCGGATACTCCCTCACCCTGAAGGGCGCTGACCTCGGGCTCAACTACCTCTTCCTCCCCCAGTGGGAGCTCCTCGCCGATGCCAAGGTCTGGCCAATTAAATTTTCCACTTGTCAAATTATTTGATCACAGAGTTGCTCATTGAAATTGATAGACGAAGTGATAGACAAAGAGACATAGACAAAGGAGTATAGAGCGATTCTCTTGGTTGAAGTAGGTGGTTGCTATGGACTAAGGGAGGAAATGAGAGACTAACTACGGTGTCTCTCGTGGGTTGCCGGTAAAGAGTCTATTATTTACCTTCTTCTTCCATTCCAAGCACCCGCTTCTACCAATAGGATCCCTTCCTAGCCCTCTTGTCTCCTATGTCTATAGCTTTGTCTATCAATTTCATTAATCGGCCCGCATAGCTGTCAGTCTAAAATCCCACATTAGAGTCGAAGATTCGAACTACATGAAAAATTAAATAAGAAACTGGGGGCTGCTTCAAAAGAACTGTCGTGTTTTTAGTTACTTTAATAATTATTCATTTAATATATGTCACGAGCAAGTTAGACTAACGGAAATAGGAAACGAAAGTTTTCATTATTGGTCGTCCTAGTAAAAAAGAAAGAAAAAATAGTGCTACTGAGTGAACAATTTTCATGAACACTCCAGTAGGTAATTTAAATTACTTCACAACAATAGTTCAATTTAAAATCTTGATGTCAAATTCTTCAAAAATTGATTTTTTAGTGAGATTTTTTTTTTTTGAAAAACGCTTCCTGACGTGTTTGCCTTTTCTCTTGACTAACAATTTTCATACGCCAACTTTAGTACAATGTCTTTGTCTGTACTTGGTCTCATAATATATTAGAAATTTTGAATCGAAGTTTCTTTTGTTCATGGATATAGGTGTGGATCTATGCAGCAGCACAAACTTTCAATTCCATTGGAATAGCTTTCGGGTCTGTAATATCGTTGGCGAGTTATAACCGCTATGGAAACCAGATCTTCCGTGACACAATCACCGTCTCTGTGATCAACACTCTGGCCAGTATCCTTGTCGGTGCTTTTGCCTTCGTCACTATTGGTAACATTGCTGCTGAACAAAACACCTCGATCGATGATGTTATTGCAGATGGTGAGACTGTGCTTCTACTTTCAATTCTTGATTCAAAAAAAGCTAATGACTGTGTTTAAAGCTTACAAAGGTAGTTTACAGCCTGCAAAAGTTGATTGTTTAAGTAATTCGCTCAAAGAGCTGCGCTTCTGAGAAAAATTTAATTTTTATTGAGTGACATCCACACTTATTCATACTTGGCAGAGCATGTTCTTATTGACATCAAAAGTAGGTTTAAAATTAAAGTATTTCATCTTACAATTTCATCCTTCCTGTTAGGAAAAAAAAAAAAAAAAAAAAAAAAAAAGAAACCGATGGAAAGAAATTTTCAGACTAATAGTTCATTTAATACCCTCATAATTACAAAAAAAAGGTTGTTGCTAACTGAAAAACAAGCAAAGATGGTAAAGATTAAAAAAACCCAAGAATAACTTCGAATAAGAATGGGCAAATCTGACGATGAGATGTAAATTCCATTACTTTAGTTACGAGTAAAATATATTTCTTTCATGAATCTTACACATTCTTTCTATTTCAGATCCTGGATTAATATTTGTCGTATATCCACAAGCACTGTCCAAAATGCCTTACTCAAACTTCTGGGCGGTACTATTTTTCTTCACTCTCCTGTGTATAGGCCTTAATAGTCAAGTAAGTACACCTTGTTATCATGATGAATGACTGACTGATAACCAAAACCGAAGGCAACTCAGAGCAGTAAGAATCAACATTTTAGACATCAATTACAACCTTGGCGAAAATTACGAAAATGACGAAGTATTCTGATAAACCTTCCTCACAATAAATTAAAAATTGTTCAAGATTTCTCCATCTTTCCTTATCTGTGAAAGCACAGTTTTTAAGAAAAATCATCATCAAAGGACATGTTTCTTTGGACAGAACGAGAAGAGAAACATTTCCGTAATAACCATGAGGTTATTCAGGTAGATTCTATTGCTTTAAAACAGATATTTGGGAATTGTGGCATGGGAGTGTTTGACTGCCTCCTTATTTATCTCATTCGTGTTGTTTAAAGAACACTTTGACTCAAAACAAGAAAGGTGCTAAAAAATTTAACAATGCCAAAATCATCCAAAAATGTCCAGACATTATCTTCTAACTGCCACCATTTAATTTACTTAATTTCTATTTTTTACAGTTTGCCATTGTGGAGGTTGTTGTGACTTCAGTGCAGGATGGCTTCCCTAACTGGATCAAGAGAAAATTAGTCTGTCATGAGATTTTGGCCCTTGTTGTCTGTACAAGTTCCTTTGCATTTGGTCTGATTTATGTGACTCAGGTAATGAAATTTAATTTTTTTTTATATAAAAAACAGAACATCTGAGAATGGCAGGGAAACCAAGATAAAAAATGTTTGGAATGTTGTGTTAATTTTTCCTCATATTATGAGAAGTCAGAAATCAATGTTGTGTTTTGGTGATGTTGCAGGGTGGAATGTATTTCCTTCAACTGATGGATCACTTTGCAGCATCTGTGACAGTGTTGAGCATTGCTTTGATAGAGCTAGTTGCAGTGTCTTGGTTCTATGGTGCCAATCGCCTTGCTCGGGACATCGTCCACATGACAGGAAAGCGACCAGGAAACTTTTTTACTACATGCTGGTGGCTTGTCACGCCTGTTTTCTTGCTGGTGAGTGAAACACTTCCTTTCCCTTTCACATTTTGAATCCTATTACTTTCTCAGTAATTTGCACTTTCCACACTGCAATCGTACCTTTTCAAGCAAGGGTTTATAGGAGACTGCTATCATGAATTCAGTCTTCAACAGAAATAACTTTTAAGTCTATCAAGAATGCAAATACAAAATGCGATTTGATAGGCAGGCTTAGCATAAATCTTGTGAAGATGGTAGGTTGGACAGGAAGAAGTTTTATTTTTTGCTGGAGGTGAAATTTAAACTTCAAATAATCTTTAGGAGAGTCTGCAATTTTATTACTACTGATTTTCAATTTAAATTTCATTTAACTTCTGTATTTTTCAGGGTGTATGGACCTTCAGTTTCTTGGACTATGAGAGTCCCTCATACAATAATGCAACTTATCGCTATCCATTCTGGGCTGAATACCTTGGATGGCTCATTGCTTTTATTCCTTTATCATGCGTCCCCATCATAGCCATTTATACAGTCATCAAAATGGAAGGTGCTTCTTGGAGAGAAGTAAGTATTAGAATTTCATCATGACACCTACCATATTGGGTTCATTGTTGAACCTCGTGTCAGCACAAGATATTGACAATTGATTAATAAATGGTACAGATATGGCTTTGTCCTGTCTTACTCTCTCGACATGGCGAAAAGTAGTTTCAACAATCGGCTCACAGTTTTAAGATCTCTTATTCACCAAACATGAACAATTTTGTGGCTTGAAATGTAAAGTACACACCCTGATAAGAAAATAATAATACAATGAAGAAAGAATTGAGAGTAACAGAAAGGAGAGAGAGAAGAAATGGACTTCATTACGGATGCATTTGGTAAATGTTACTTGCAGTCAACTTTTGAGGAGAGGACACCCTATTCCTCATTTTTTATTGAACATATCCTCAACCCCCACTCCCTTCATGATGTAGAAAATTGTTCCATCACAAAAACTACAAACACATTATTCTGTGAAGAATACGCTGACTTTGACTTTCACAGTAAGGATGAGTTTTGACATTTTTTCAATGTTGCAGAAACTAGCAAACTCCTTCAAACCACGACTGGATCCTGGAAGTCAAATGGATTATAGAGATGATCACATTCACGACAACATAAAAGAGCTATCTACTTTGATAGAGTGCAAGATTCAGCCACAGATAGTGATCAAGTCCTTGCCAGAGGAAGCAGAGGAGAACGAGGATAACAACAGCAATAAGGCAAAAGAAAATATACCGATTAAATAGACTTGTTAGACTTTACAGATGGGTATCATTGGGTAGTCAAATTTTTACTCAAATACATGTAAGCAGGTCGGTCATCTGCTCACGCTCAGTGTAAAGGAAACTCAGCCGTTGTTTTACGTTGTTGTTACTTTATGTTCTTCTGTGTGCTATTACGTTTTTACGATACACTCACCTTCAAGCTGTTTTTAAGAACTTGATAAAATGATAAGTAATAAAATGATAGTGCAAAAGAGGAACTCAACCTGAGTCAACTCCTGAATAAGTACAAATATCCCGATGAATACCGTTCTGCAATTCATACTCTCAAATTTTAATTTTTTTACTCAACTGATAGCTTAGCAATCACTCTTGACCACTGACAAAATTAGCTCCTTGGTTTTAAAATGTTGAGCGTTTATTACGGTCAAAGTTACGAATTGTAGCCTGGGAAACAATTCCAGCTGCATAGTATTTTAAGCACATAAGACTTGGCGACAATTAGGTTTCAGATAGATAAAGAGAACACCTCTACTGTATTCCTAAAATGAAATTCCATGGGATGACGCTCAAGTTATGGACCAGAAGATTTATCATCCATTGGCTTCATACTAAGAGAAGATAGTAGTGATATACTATTATTCAACTACATTTGTATAGTTTTGAAATTGAACGGAAGTGGTATTATTTCTTAGAAAACAGAACACACTCGTACAGACCTGTGTTTCTCTACCTATGCTCCCTTGGTATGATTGAGGTAATGATCATAAACAGACGTCATTAAGCAGAGAGGATCTACTTACAAAGGTTGTTTTGAAAAAGATGTATAGCTTGTCATATAAGTTTAATAGGTATGCATTTCTTTAACATTCACTTTGTAGTTAGATCTGTCTTACTTAATGATATCCCAATGTGAGAACACAATAAATGTTCTAACCACCGACCAACAAGAGGACAGCAAAAGGAGCAATCTTTACTTTTTTCGAAATGAAGGCCTCAATAGCTTTTTCTTTTTCACCTATAACAAATAGTAAAAATTCAAGGGACCTCCTGAAAGAGGACCAGAAACTCAGCTAGGCACCACTTCCACCTAAAATTTTTGTACCTTACACTATCCCCCACTAGTAATGTGGATAATATGCATTGTCGGTGAAACTATAAGGAGCCCTTCCTGATATGTGTAAATTAAGCTAAACAATGGAAAAGCTGCCCTCGTAGGCCATTTTCCTATCTACTGACACAAATTCAAGGGTTAAATATCACCAATTCCTGCTTTGCAGACCATTGCTGCGAAAATTTTTTAAAGACACTTTAAATACATTCCTTTGACTTCATTCCAGATTTCATTGAACCAAAAGTATTAACTGCTGATAGGTTAAGATATGGCGTTTGGATGATTGCATTGCAGTTGTAAATTTAGTAAAATCCTTAGTTCTAGGACAAGGTAGTGAATAATTGATGAATACATTAGTAAAGAGAAGGGTTCATCACAAAGGATGAGCTAAGGAAATCTAGCGTCATTATGTTATTGATATAATATTTCTTTCCTTTCTTATTTTTTTGCTCCATTAAGTTCGGAGCAGTTCATTTAATGCATTCCGTTAAAAGGGTTTATGAAATATTTGTGTCTTACAGAATTTATTTTCCGTGGACAATGAGACTATTAGCTAGAAGTTAAGCTTTCTTGTGAGGCCAGTGTGACCGCACTTAAACAGTTTATTAGATATTGTGTAAACATTTCTGTAGGTAAATACTTGACCAAGGTTGACTGTGATTCTTATAATTATGAATTTAGAGAGCATACGATAACTTTAATGTTTCTTTTATACAAAATACTTGATGGATTTAAAAGAAAATGCAAAATCATCTTCTTTTTTCCTTCTCATCCGGTGACGATGGAATGCATTGTGATTAGAAAAATATGCCAAAATTAAATATTTATTTTCATAAATTGATTTTTAATTTTTTTTTTAGACCCTTATCCTCCTTTAGATACTGTGCACACAGAGTAAGGAAACAAATAAATTTTAATGCAATGTTATCGTTGCTTTTATTTCTATGCCTTAAAAAATCCTGTTTGGTTCAATGCTTTTTGAAGTTTTCTGTGACAGTACGTTTGAAAAATGATCTTTATTTTAAAAGTGCTTATGATTTAATTTCGAGTTTTGTAGTACTACAGTCCTTTTTTCCATGGCTGTCACCTATGTTTAAACCCTTTCAGTCACTGGTCCCAATGAACTCTCAGAGGAGAAATCAGCAAAAGAAGACGTAACAATTTGTGGTGCTTTATTAGTAACAAAGGTAAAAATAAATGTAACTTCTTATAACAATGATTAGAGAGAGGCGAGCTTTTTTCTTAACACTATTAGTAAACATTTAGATCACTACTTACTTAATTTTTTTTAATGTTATGGAACATGAAGATTTCACTTTCAAAAAGAAGGGCCCTTCCTGATTTGGAAGATAAGTCGAAGCTATTATATTGTAAGTGCCTGGTTGCAAATCTTCTAGTTCTAACACAACAAAGCCAGATCTGAAAAAGATAACAAAATGAAATAAAATTGAATTGCAGCTGAAATTTGAATTGTTCACACCTCATATTTATAAAAAAAAATTGAGCAAGAGAGCAGTTTATATTTGCTAGACGCCTTTACAAACTGTAGCTTTTTAAAGCAAAAGTCTTTACTTTTCGAAAATTAAGCTTTTAATGGCATCGATGAGAGGCAAAAATTCTTGATTTCTCAGTCTCTTGAGAAAAACTTGTTACGTTACTTCTATGGGGTAAAAATGAGTAAAAAAACTAGGAGCAGAATTTCACTACACTGGTACAACTAGGATTCATCCCTGCCATACCCAAAAAGCCAAATATGACAAGTTTTTCCGCCAAAGAACCAAGCCAGGAAATCATTAAATGTTTAATTCTTAATCTTTGTTCAGAAAATATTTTTTTTAAAAAATAGAACTATCAGCCTTCTAGATAAGCCTTGTATGGATTCTGTGAAAATTTAGGAAAAAATTGTGAGCCGTTACAGGGTGTCTACAAGATTTTCAAAATGAAATTCCCTGACAATTCCAGGTTTTCCATGACAAAAAATGACAAAATTACCTGACTTTTTGGGTTTAGCCGTACGATGAACTAGTTAGAAAATATTGAAAAAAACTATCCTTAGGAATGACCCCGTAAAGTCATATTCTGAATTACCATGGCGTTGGAAGGAGTTGAGTAATACTTTTGAAAGGAACGAGATCCCAAATACTCAAAATAAAGCTAATTCCAAAATGGTATACTCAGACTAAAATTCACCTTCAAAATTTAATTTTTAAGCTCTACTACGCTCTCTGTGTGACATATTGCCCCGTATACTTTTGAAAATTTAAACTAAAGTTCACCCTGGTGGTTTCATAAAAATTGGCATATTACTTAGTGACCTGAAAATACAAGTCTCTTTTTCTTAAAATATAAAACAAGAGTTGCAAATGTGCCTAACTCAGGTAGATTTTGCTATAATCAAGATGAAATACGAGTCTCTTCTCGATTTTAGATAAATTTGCTTGATTCGGGATTTTTTTTCTTTTATTTATTTATTTAAGGTCAATTCAATGGATTCCAGAACCTATTGTTGGTATTGAATTTGTCTTATTCTCAACAAACGTTGGCTTGTTAGAATATAATCCACCAATAATATTTCTACAAGATGGATGCACCAGTTGTGAACATGTTGATTTAAGAACCAGAAAAATTTCATGCAAAATGCAGTTGACATTAAATATTTCTTTACTCAGTTAAAGAAAAACTAAAATTCTAGCACTTTCATTAAATTTCCTAACTTATTAAAAAAATGGATTAACCATCTGCTCAAAACTGGGGCACTTAGTTTCCTATCATTATTTACTGTAATTTTCTGCTGTTAGCAAGTTAACTTCCTTCAAGTCTATTTAGTCTATCTTGTCATTTGGCATGAATTAAGTAGATAAATTAAATAGGGCAGATCGATTCGATCTATAAAGTTAGCAAACACACATTAGTGAACCTAGCGGCCGTGTTGCAAACTGGTTGAACAGAGCAGTTTACATTATCAGCCACGCGAGCGCGCTACGCGGCCAATTTGGCAGTGACGAGCAAAAATAGCCGCGAAATGTTCGAATTGCGAAAATTCCCTGACTTTCACCGGTTTTCGATCGAATTCCCTGACTTTTCCCGGTTTTCCAGACCTGCAGACACCCTGCCTTAGATATGACTAGCGCTGCAAGATTCCGGAAATTGGGGAGTACATTAGGAACGAGGTATAAGATTGCCACGTAATTTACTCCTGGTATCTGTACCAATGACAATTTTGTAACAATATTTTAGATAAAAGCTTCAGATATAGAGTGTAGCATCATGAATCTGCCTCACCTGTAAGGTCCAGAGGATTTCGAAATAAAATGAGCAGTTGCGCTGGGATCCTCCAGTTTAACTGTTAGGATTTCAATGCCCATTTGGTATTGCTTTGGGCCTTTGACTTCAATTCCGAGGGAGTTATTATTGTGAATTGATTCCACTGTTAATTGGTAACAAGGGTTATTCGGGTATGTTGACGGATGATTTCGGCAGCCACCAGCAGAATCACCTTTCCACTGATCGGTAACCTGAGGAGAAAAATTTACTAACATTAAACACTCAACATTTGGGGTAATTTCTTATTAGTGATGGAATGTATACACAAAACAATGATTACTTTGGCCAATTTTTCCGGGAACGCCATGCAAAGCAATTTATCCTAGGAAAATGAGTAGTTTTCCATGGCCTTGCTTTAGTGGCACTGCTAGCATCTGCTAACAGAATTAGTCGCACTTTCTATAGAGTCGATTGATCTGAGTTGAGCACCAAGTATCAAATTTCAGTAAAATACGCACAAGGTGTAAAGGCAGTGATTGAGAAAAAAATTCTTACCTCCTGAACGACTTTGTATACATTTTGAAGTTTGTTAAGGGAGAAAGGTCGTGTGCCATATGCTCTTAGAGTGTAGTAAATGGTATTCATTTTCTTATACTGAGAAACTGCAAGAGTGAACCGTTTGGGACTGGAATCTGTGAGTATTATTTTGCAAAGATAATGTGGACTGTTGATGCGCACTCCATCAATGTAGGGTGGAGGATCATCTGAAAAAATAGAAAAATAGATATAAACATCAAATTTAATAAGCTAATTGTAAGACCAGCTTGGTGATGGATAAAAAGTATCCTGGAGCACCAGATGTGATCTATTCTTTTTCTGCGAATGCTTTGTCAACTTGCTTTTGAACAAAAAGCATACATGAAACAATTAATTTTAAAAGTAATGCAAGCTTTATGGGTTCTTCCAAGCAAATGTAACCCAGCACATTGTGACTTGTAATGAGATCCTATTTCCTCTGAGATAGTCACATCAATACAAATGCATATGATCAAATAGATTCGTTGAGTAAAAAAAATAAATTACTGGAGACAATGGCTAAATTGATTATCTTACAGCTTAAAATAATTTGGAGTAATAATGCAGAGCATAAAATTGCAGTTTTGTTTCAACTTTGCTGCAACATTTACTTTACATCAAGGTTTTTTTTTTGTTTTTTTTTTAAATCACTAAGACCTCAACTTTTTAAAAAATGTTCTTACTCTCTCTAAGAATGCCTAAAAACTATCAGAGATGATTATTGAACATGATGAGGGTCGAAATTACTAGGACCATTTTTTTCACTCTTAAATCATTACAACGATTTGGGTTTGGAAAATTTGAATCTGAGTCACAAGCAATTTAAATATTCAAATGTTTATGAAATAAGGGTAATCACTCGTTCTGCAGTATCAAATTTTTGTACCCCGTACGTTAGTTCAGCATCCTGACTATGAAATGATTGGTAATACTTACTTGGATAATAGACTCTCTTGCCATCATTCTTATAGACTAAGAGAGTGATGAATTCTTGGTTCTCCCTAAAATCCTCTAGCTCCGTTATATGTCTCGTTAACAGCATCCAAATTGCACCACTACCAGGCTCGTTAATTTCAAGGCAGAACTGAGGATTCTCTCCTATATTATATGCATCTTTGATGGGACCAACTCCAGCAGACCACGATCTGCACAAAAAATGTCGACATCTTAAGTAAGAATGCCTTCAAATTTTCCGAATACAATGAGATACGTCTAGGCTTAAGGTTAAAATAGAATTTCGAACGACTAAAAATTGGGTACTTTCAAAGACTCGAAAGTTTCAAAATTAGTGAAAAGAAATTAGGTATTGACATATTCAAGAAGATTTTTCCTTTTTTTGAACCTTCGTTTTCCCTTTCATCTTAGTAAGGTAGTACTGTTTTACTTACTGATGAATGCAGAACGTATACTGGAAAATTTGCGGATTCCAGTTCATGTAAAACACATCAAAGAACTTGAGAATGCTTTCATAGTCAATCCAAAATACGCCGTTGTCATACATTGCTGCACTGGTGGGATCAAATCCTAGGACATCTTTGAGTGGCTCCCAGTGAATCACGTCCAATTCTGAATAATTTCCACGCCATCGAACATGAGACCATGGATTTTTCAACTGAAGTAGTCGTACATTCTGAAAATTACAGACCAAACCAAGATTTACATTATCCATTTTGAATTTCATGTTTTTTAAAAGTGGTCTCATCAAAGTTTCATGACAACTTTGCCGCGTAATGAAATGGGGTACCAAATTGATAATTGTTCATTGGATGTTGTTTATTGTTACGCCTATTTCTTCCCTAATTCAGTGATGCAATTAGGAACAGAATATGTTCCACAGCCGTATGGGGGACTGTTGTCACAGGTTTAGCAATCCTGCGGACCCCAGCTGGTAGCCCCTGCCTCAAAGGGGGCAGTGGGGATGGTCACCGGCCTCTGGGCGTATGAACCACCTGCTAGAAGGGCAGACAGGGCTCTGAGCTGAAGTGAAAGCAACCTGTCTAGGAGAGGCAACTCCGAAATCAAACCCTGGTCCTCCAGGTTGGGGGTTGAGTCATCGGGCTGACTCCCCGGTACTTGTAAAAAGTTTTACTGTTAAACGACCTAACAATACAAGCCTCGGTACCACTAGAACTAAACGGACACGTCGACAAAAATTGAGAAAACGGACAATGGTATTTGGGACGTGGAATGTCCAAGGCATTTCAAATAAGTTACCGGAAGTGATATCGGAGATTCAGAAACTTGGAGTGGATGTCGCTGTCCTTACTGAGACAAAGAAAAAAGGGCACGGGTCAGAGAATTACGGTGACTATCATCTATTCTACAGCGGCGTAGCCAAAGATCAGCGTGCTCAGCAAGGAGTAGCAATACTTTTGCGGAGAAGCCTACGTAAGTTCGTGGGCACTTGGGAGGCCGTCAACCAGCGCATTATCAAAATGAACCTTAACCTGTACGGACATAAGATCACGCTGCTCGGAGTATACGGTGTAAATGATGATGCCACTGTCGCATGTAAGGACCAATTCTTCGAAGATCTGAATGATGAAATACTGAACGTTGGTGCTGGCAGGGAAGCCATTCTTATGGGTGATTTGAACAGCAGAACGGGACGACGAGTAAACTGTAAAGTTGTTGGACCGTTTGGGGAGGATGCTGTTAATGATAACGGTGATCGGCTCATCTCAATTTGTTCTCAAACTGAGATGAAAATTTTGAATGGCTTTTTTCAACACAAAGACATCCATAAGTATACCTGGGTCCAGCCAACGCGAGGATTGAAATCCATCATCGATTAT